ACCCCCACACCCCCACGGCCTCCTCACCACCATTCTCTCCCCAGGGAGAGACCCCCACACCCCCACGGCCTCCTCACCACCATTCTCTCCCCAGGCCTCTTCTGTGGGCCTGACCTTCTCCAGCGACCCAGGGAGGCAGGAAGGGAAGCCTGAGAGTTAGAAGGAAAGACAGCTAAGAGCAGCAGCCTGACCGCAGCTGAGCGTGGCCGTGCTCCTCCCTGGGGAAATGCCAAGGGAAGGACCCCCCTGCTCTACCCGGAGACCCAGAGCCCTGCTAAGCAGGGTGGAAAGCCTGGGTGCAGCCTGGGGGGTACCGCGACTGTGGCCCAACCATCCAGTGTGTGAGCCCTGGATGACGGGGCCAAGAGCCAAGGCAGCCCGCTTGGACAACTGACCATGATCCGCTGAGGCAGCGCATTGCCCACGTCTCTGCTATTCACGTTTAATCACGCACAAGTGCATCACAAAGTGACAGCATCGTGAAGGACTAACGACCAGGCACAGGTGACCCTGGATGCGGCCAGCAGCTTCCTGCAGGGCGCTCAAAACCCAAGTCTTTATGATCCATTGTGTCTACTGCGGAGACATCAGCTGCTCCGTCCCCACCTGCGCTCAAGCACCTGAAGGCCCTTCCAACGGAGCCCACTGGGCAGAGGACAAACCAGACACAAAACACACACGCGCTTTTACCAGCCTGGACTCTGTAAGAGAAAGGCACCCACGTATCCCCTGGGGAGATTTCCACTCATCCTGCAGGGCCCTCACGGCCTCACTGGGCTCTACCAGGGCCTGCCCTGCAGGGGGAGGTGCTTTTCCTGCACAGGGTCTGTGGGCCAGGACAGACGCAAAGGAGCTTCTGCTACGGGCTGAATCGTCACCCTGAAATTCCCAAGTGGAAGCCCTGGGCCCGATGTGATGGTATAAGGAGGTCTCTGGGAGGTGATTTGGCTTCGATGGGGTCATGGGGTGGGCCCTGCCCATGGAATCTGGGCCCTCACAAGGAAGAGATGACACCAAGGTCCCTCCCCAAATGAGGACACCTCTGAACCAGGAGGCGCTCGCCGGAAACGGACCCTGTTGGCACCTCTACCTCGGACTTCCAGCCTGCAGAGCTGGAGAGCATAAACCCTTGTTCTCTGTGCTGCCGCCTGTGGTGTCCCGGTGAGGCAGCCTTGTACTCCATGACCGACAGCTGCTCTCTACAATCTTCAGTGAGCACGAAAACCCTCATATTAATGCTGTAAATAAAAGATTTGGGGTATTTTCAAACACACCAACCTCCCAGCTTCAACAGCTGTCAACATTCAGCCAATACTGTTCTTTCTCCTTTTTATTAGAATTTTAAAGCACATCCCAGGCGCCACGTCATTTCCCCACAAACACATCCAAATGCATCTGAGTGAGGATTCTCAGGTAACCCTGTGTCACTATCACTGCCAACAGCCAATTTCTCACCCCGCCCGACTCACAGCCCATCCGCCCGACTCAGTCCATCCGCCCGACTCAGTGCACCCACCCGACTCAGTCCACCCGCCCGACTCAGCCCCTGCCCACATTTCCAAGATTGTCTCAAAAGTGACTTTGCACTTGGTTTGTTCATATCAGGGTCACACACAGCCTGCTCAGCCTTTCTGTGTGCCCGGCTTCCAGCGGAAAGGTTGCCTTCTGGTGGCATCTCCGGCCGGGTCTGGCTCGGGGCTTCCTCTTGGTGTGTTCAACCTTCTCCTGGTCCCCATTTCTTGTAAACTCGTTTCTGATTCCAGCATTACGTGTGCATGTGTTGGCTGGAATTCTTTTTTTTTTTTTTTTTTGAGACGGAGTTTCAGTCTTGCTCCCCAGGCTGGAATGCAGTGGTGCAACCTTGGCTCACTACAACCTCCACCTCCTGGATTCAAGCGATTGTCCTGCCTCAGCCTCCCGAGTAGCTGGAATTTCAGGTGTGAGCCACCGCACCTGGCCTGGCTGCAATTCTTAAAGAAAAACAGGCAAAAGCAAAAATCCTTCAACAATTCAGCTAACCTGAAACACGGCAGTGTCCCCGATCCATTTCCACAGGGGTCTTCCCTTGGGATCACCACTGGCAGATTTTTATTTCTGGCTGGATAGGACACCTTAAGTTTCAAACAAAGAGGTCACCTCTTCCCCATGAAATGCACTATGGTGAGTATGGCCACCTCACTGCCCTGAGACCCAACTCGATCTGCCAATTTCAGGTGCGTGACCCAGGCTCTGACCAACAGAGCTGGGTGGGGGCCATCCCTGCAACACGGGGGGTGGCCCTGACCTAACCGGCTGAGCACCACTCCCTAATCCTTGAATAAGGCTCAGTATTACAAAAGCTCTTGTTTCTATGGCCCAGTGCAGAGGCTGCGGGAGGGTCTTTGCCTCTGTGCAATGCCTCGCCCAAGACAGAGACAGGAAGGCAAGCCAGACCAGGCAGCAAGCATGGAGTGCGGAGCCAGGAAGGAAAGGCCCAGCAGACAGCGACTCAGGGCCAGGGTGGAGTCCCTGAGCCAGACAGCTGTGAGCACCGGGCAGGCTCTCCACCTCTGCGCCTGGCCTGGCATGTGGCTCCGTGGTCGCACATGCTCTCAGCACATCCCCAGGGTGCCCGGCACCGGGGTGCAGCCCCTGCCATCTCCAGAGCCCCCACCATCTCCGGCGTACCCATGGATTCGCTTCTCCCACCTGGCAGTTTTCCCAGTAAAACTTCTCGGGGGACTGGAGAGCTCTGAGGACTGAGAAGGCTTCTTTTCAGGCTGATTTTCCAGGCTGAAGAGCAACTTCTCACTGCAGCTCTCCCTCAGGGCCCAGTACTCCCGCAGAGGTACAGCACCCCACGCTTCGGGGGCCCCTACACCTCCCCGTGCCTGTGAGTTCTTTGATGCCGCGTGAAGAAGCCCAGGTGGCGGAATCCTTTCCCGCAGTGGCCGCACTCGTAGAACCTCTTTGTCAGGTGCAGCCTCCGGTGGATGCTGAAGCCCTTGGGCCACCGGAAGGACTTGCCACACTCGGCACAGGTATAGGGTTTCTCCCCGCTGTGGACCCTCTGATGGTGGCTGAGGTTCTCCTTGGTCCGGAAGGCCTTGCCGCAGTCCCCGCAGTAGAACGGCCGCTCCCCGGTGTGCACCAGCTGGTGTCTGAGAAGGTTGGATTTCTGCTTGAAGGCTTTCCCACAGTCGCCGCACGAGTAGGGCCTGTGTTCGGTGTGGACCTTGCGGTGCTGGGCCAGGCGGTCCTTCAGGCTGAACGCCTGCCCACATGCCTCGCAGCAGAAGGGCTTCTCGTGCGTGTGGTTCTTCTGGTGACGCTGCAGGTTTGAAGCCCACCGGAAGGTCTGGCCGCACTCGGGGCACTTGAAGGCCTTGGTCCCCGTGTGCACCGTCTGGTGAGCGAGCAGCCGGCTGTGGCAGCTGAGCGCCTTCCCGCACGTGCCGCAGATGAACGACAGCTCCATTGCGCACTGCTTCCGGCGCTCTCTGCGGCCCGGCCGCTGCCCACAACACTTCGTGAGCATCTGACAAGCAAAAGCCGTGGGCTTGGCGTCTGTCCTTTCTGGAGCAGCTCTGGGAAGCTGCCCGTCATCCGCGTCCGGCCCGAAGCTCTTCCGAAAGCTGCTTCCCTCCCTGGTTCTTTCTCGCCTCACATGGGTTTTCTTATGAGCCCAAGTTGGACGGTCACAGCGTCTCTTGGGGTCTGCAGATTTCCTTGCCCCTGTGGAAGGAACAGATACCCTTACACAGAAGCCAGTGGCCCATGGCCAGGCAGTGCCTCCTGCTGTGTGCATCAACTGGCTTCTATCTACTCAGCTCATTCCACGTGGCTACAAGTGATCAGGAAAACTCATTCAAAGAAACACAGATGAGCCACAAAGATCAATAGCGGAAACCAAGATGAGCTCAGATGGTTCCCCAGCCCCGGTGGCACGCAGGACACCTGGCACTGCTACGTGAGGAGCACCGACACATGGCTGCCAATCAACAGAAGCAACTGGGCCAAGAGAATGTCCTTTCACCCTGTCCACGCCAGCAAGCCCCGCTCATGCAGGTGGAGGTGGTGCCAGGATATCATCTGGAAGATGGGTAGCTCCACGTGATTCTCAACCACTCAGCCTCGGAGCCATAGCTCCCTCCAGCTGGATACTCCACAGGCCCAGGGACCCGACACTCCCCAGCCGGGGGCTCCACAGGCCCAGGGACCCGACACTCCCCAGCCGGGGACTCCACAGGCCCAGGG